CCCCCCCTTTTTCTCGGTGCGGACTTACTTTTTTCCGCTTGGGAAGCGCAAGTGTGCGCGAGTTTTTCTACGGCGCTTTTCTTTCGTCGGTGAGTTGGTTTTTCTTCTATTTTTAAGTTACTAAGGTGAATGGTGAGGAAAAATTCGTCTTAACTAAACATAAGCCCCAAACAAAATATAATGAAAGCAAAATAAAAGTAAAATAAAAATAAAGCTCAGACTTGGTTCCTTACATGCTCAGTTGTTTTTTGTACAAGTTTTGGTTTCTTTGTCAAATCAGAACGAGGTTTTTGTGGTTTTCTTTACCCAGTCAGTAATTTTATAGGGTTTGGTATATTGAAAATTGTTGGAATTTCATTCCAAACTAATTTTTTTTTTTTTTTGAATTCATAAATTGGTTTTCTTCAAAATGCTCAGCACAAAGATAATTATTTTTACATAGTACTTCTGCTGTTTTATTTAGAAGATTTAGGTGTTGAGTATTTTGGACCGAAAAGCGGCATCTGAAAAATAAATAAAATGGAGCTGCATATGAATGGATAGTATGACATGTTTAACCCCTTCATTCCTGATCATTAATTAAATTGATATAAGATTAATATTAAAATACATTAAAAATACTTAAAACTGAAAAAAAACGAAAGAAATGCATTAATTTTGAAGAAAAACCTTCAAATTTTATTTTCCTTTGTTTCGCCTTTGTGTGAAATTTAACACTGATGAGTCATTGTTTATACAGCTGGGTGACCTTGAACACAGCTGGAGTCCGATTTCCCGGGACATTCTCATAGACGTCTCGGGAGGACAAGGGTTTAAAGTAGGGTGACTATAAGCGACATGGAAATTTTTAAATATTTTTAAAAAATTCAAAATTTTATTGCGATTTCCGACCCCCCCTAATTAATTAATTATATATTTATAAAAATATATTAATTAAAAAAATTAAAAAACCATCGGAGGTCGTTTTTGACATCAGAAACTAACTTTAAATAACTTTACTGAATGAAAATCCGTGCGCTACAACTTAAAAACCATGAAATAATTTTGATAAAAAACTCCCATTAAAAAACAATTAAGCCTTAATCGAGCCTTCACATAGGCTCATTAAAATCGCGATAAAATTTTTTTGCGCGGGAAAAAAATTTTGAAAAAATTTCGGGACCTAAAAAACATTCCAAAAATTCAAAAAAAAAAATT